ATATATCAATCGTCAAAACCATTTATAAAGAAATGATATACTTTGTAATACACAAATTATATATCATTAAGGGTAAAATAGACTTTTTCATAAAAACTCAAATGGATCTAATATACTTGGCTAGTTTGGAAAATACCCCTACAAAGAGACCCTTGCCCTTAAATTTTGATTATGGAAGGTATTTTAGAAGTAAAAAATATTGTGTAAAATTATAAAAAAGTGACACGATCTTACTTTCTAAAATTAAGTGTTACTTTTTTACATACAATATCACTTTTATTAAAAAGCAATATTTTTCACTAAAAGAAGTAGAAATTTTAAGAATTTGACGAAGTAAAAAATAAAAAATAAAAAAGTAGTGACAAAATACTAAAAAAAAGTGACAGAAATTCAAAAATAGTGACAACCATTAGAAAAAATGACAGAAGTCTAAATAATGTGACAAATACTTAAAAAAAGTGACAACAATTAAAAAGGGTGACAAAACACGAATTAAAATATTGAAATCAGTTCAAAAAAGTAACAAAACTTTTTATTTAAGTCAATTAAACCAACATCGTTGAGAGATTCTTAAATCCCAATCCCATAAAAAGAGTCATTAAAAAATGTCACATTTTTTTATAAAAACTGTGTCACTTTTTAATAAAAAAAAGTGAGGCAATGTCACTTTTAAAAGTTAAGTGTCACTTTTTTATTAAAAAATGACTTATAATGTCATTTTTATTAAAAATTGATATCACTAAAAATAGTGATAGAAATCAGGAAGGTGACTGAAAAAAGTAATAAACACCAAAAAAAAGTGACAAAATTTAAAAAAGTGAATTCTGATTCTGAGCTAGGTGCAGCGACGACATTGCTGGAAGAGGCAGAGTATCTGAAACCTCCTTTGGACGCCTTTCAAATGTATCAACATAAATATTCTTGGTGTTTTGCTCTTTTTCTCGATCAATTTCTTCTAAGCTCCGACGGCGACGATAAAGCTGGCTCGAATCGAAAACCCGATAAGTATCAACATGTATATCATCATAGAATCGCCAGCGTTCATCTTCTTAACTCCAATTTGATGAAAATTTGCATAGATCTGGGTAAGAACTACTA